TGCCGTGTTATCTATGATTACTACGCTTTTCATTCATAATTTCAGCGGGAGGGAGGGGGAGTGGTGCTGAGGAACAGCAGAGTGCGGGCTGACATGTGTCTGTGTTGACATTCCCCTTATTGTGGAATAAGGGGAATGCAGAGACTGGCTCCAAGTGTTTTAGGTTCAAGTTAGACAACTAATGTCTGGGTTAGTGTTCATGACTTCATGTTTATGTCATCTTAATGGTTAATCTCAATACACACACATTTTCCGTGCTTTCCAATAGTTTAAAATCGTTTTATTCCACTGTTTAATAACCTGTTCTTTACAAACATGCCACTTGTAAAAATGAAATAACATTTCTGTGAACCGATATTTCTTTAGTGAGCTTATTAGAGGATGTTCCCATTTTTTGGGGATGTTCCCTTTGATTGTAAAATGTCAATGAAGATGTCAGACTTAGTATATTTGTTAATAATTACATACAACACATGGAATATTTGTGTGTGTTCCAAGTGAATCTGCGGCCCCCTGGTGGCCAGTACATCAATTATGTGGCCCCCACCGCCATCAAAGTTGCCCATCCCTGCTTTAGATGAAAATAAGGAGCCCCTCCCCACGCCCCTCTGAGAGATATTTGGTTAAAAATAACACAATGGTGCTCTAGGAGGAGATTCAGGTGATAAGGTGGGTGGGGGGGGGATGGGAACAAGAAGTTATGACATCATAAAGTGGTCCAAATCTGATCAGCTCATTTTCAGTCAGGTTTTTATAGAAATCAGGACAAAAAGAGAGAGAATCTTTTTTCCTGAAACTTTCAGAGTCTCTTTCCACAGAGGGGACACATGTTGATGTAGAAAAGACGTGAACAAGTGGATTTTGCATAATAGCTGACCTTTAAACACTAAGTGCAATAATCACTGCAGTAATCAATTGTAATGTTTCGACCTTCTGTTGGAGTCTAGAGTTGGGACGAGTGTTTGTAGAATCATAAGGCTTCACTGTCCTCTGGTGGTCAAAATAAAACAGTAAAACACAACATTAAATATAAGTACTAATATCATCCTATTAGTATCCTTTTTCTTCTACCTAACTTCTGTGTTGTTCCCAGGTGGGAGAAGGACCCGGCCTACTGTGACACGGTGAAACAGACGCCTCCTTACAACCACGGCACCCGGCTGGTGGATCTCATAGACATGGCTATACTGGACTTCCTCATGAGTCAGTGCTTTAATTTAAACACAAAGCTAGCTTGAAACAAAAGGGGGTTTACAGGCAGTGAAAAAGGCTCACTGGCCTCTTTTTCCTTTAAGATTTAAGGGAAAAACATTCAAAGTGTATAAATAAATAAATAAGAAAAAGAGTATTGTTTCCCAGGTTAATGCTCAGGATATTATCACAAACCATTATTATCTTTGTGTTTCTACAGAAATGTCGGTCACATAGTCTAAATAAGCATGAATGTTTGTCTTTGAAGGCAACATGGACAGACATCACTACGAGACGTTTGAGAAATTTGGAAATGAGACTTTTCTGCTGCATCTGGATAACGGACGGGCGTGAGTACAATGAGCTGCTCACTGGGAGTTGATCATGTTACTCGTATAGAAGAGGCAACAGTTCTACTAATATGTAGTAGAAGTCTGAGAACAACATATAAAGAAACATTATATATGTTTGATGCTCTTGATGATGTTTTCCAGGTTCGGCCGTCACTCTCAGGACGAACCGACTATTCTAGTTCCTTTGAAACAATGCTGCAGGTAAAAGAATACACTGTCTGTTCACTGAGTAACTATCCAATATCCAACATTTCTGCCTTGAATGTCCAAAGACAACCAGACCTATGCTATATATTTTGTTAAATTGTGTTCTAATATCATCCCCAATAATTGCAACATTTATCAGACTTGGAGAAATCAGTTTTTTTAATCAGAGTAACATTCCATTTCATTTTGTCTCCTGTAAAGAATGCTCTTGCACATGCATCAACATTGGGTTAGTCATAAATGGACTTTTTATCTAATTTGAGCCCCATTTTAACAATGCACCTTTAAGATGTTGGTTGTTGTTGACAATATATTGTAACTGGCTGAATGTTTTTAGTCATCAGACATCTGGATCTTCAGTTATCAGACAACAAGCTAGCGTATTTTAACATATTTTGGGTCTTCTCACCTTGTTGATTTAAAGAGAAATTAGACCTCTGTGGATAATTCAGCTCTTGGTAAAATCCTCCTGAACGTCTAGCTATCAAATTACCATAACAAGCTGAGCAAGAATTTCCATGTTACGCCAAGACGCGTTGGAAAAAAGTGATTTTTAACGTGATTTGCTACAAGATGCCACTATAGTTAATTTTTTACATTATTCATATTCATTTTTTTAATGAGCAACTAGTGGCAACAAAACTACAAAAAATAAAGGGATGAATTAAAAGAATTCAGCACATTTTGTATTTATTTATTTATTCTTTATTTAACCAGGATAGGCCTCATTGAGATTACAAATCTATTTTTCAACAGAGTCCTGGCCCAAGAATGGAAACAGCACAGTTACAGACAATTT